TGATAATCAACCACCTGGACACCCTGAACTGATAGCACAGGAAGTAACAAAACAGATGAATGAGGCTCTAGAAAAATTCAAAACAGAAATAATTTCCCAGGTAACTACAGAGATGGTGAGCAGGGTGAAAGACATGATTACAGGCTCTAGAACAGAAACAGGTAAAAAAAATAGATGAGCTCAGAAACAAGCTGGAAGTCATGAATGCCCAGCATAAGAAAGAAATGGAAACCATGATCACCCAACATAAAAAAGAAATGGAATCCATGAAACAGATTCAAACAGATATTCAAGAGATTAAAAACTCCATTGAAAACATGCAGAGCAGATTAAGGGAATCTGAAGATAGAATATCAGATATAGAAGACAGGATTGAAGTTAAGGTCCATGAAAACAAAGATTTCTTCAAAATAGTAAGGAACCACGGAAATCAATTCAGCAGGTGCTAGATGATGCAAAGAAGAATAACATAAGACTGATAGGAGTCCACAAAAAAACAGGAGAAAGTACAATTGACACAAAAAACTGTTCACAGAAGTAATAGTAGAAAACTTCCAAGACAGAGGTGGAGAATTGGACCTACAGATAAGTGAAGCATATAAAACTCCAGCTAGCCATGATCAAAAAAATCTACACATAGACATATAATAGTCAAGATCCCAGAAAACCAACAGAGGAACAAAATCTTACAGACAGTTAGAGAAAGAAACAAATCACTTACAAAGGAAAGCCCATCAGAATCACGGCAGACTTCTCAACACAAACCCTCAAATCAAGGAGAGCCTAGAGTGAAATATTTCAAACCCAAAAAGAAAATAACTTCCTGCAAAATTATCTTTCAAAATCAATGGGGAAATTAGATACTTCCACAACAAACAACTGAGATATTTCATGAACACCAAACCAGCACACCAAACAATTGTCAGCAATATCCTAGAAAAAGACAATGAAGGTCACAACTCCATGAGGCTCAACCGAGGAAGCCACCAGGCAAGGTAAGAAACTAAAGGGAAAGGGGGAAAAAATAAGAAATAAAGGAGCCAACAAGAGCAAAACATCATGACAAGGATGAGTCAATATCTATCAATTATAACTCTCAATGCTAATGGCCTCAATTCACCAATCAAAAGAAATAGACTGACAGAATGGATTAAGAAGCAAAATCCAGCAATATGCTGTAGACGAGAAACACACCTAACTCAAAAAGAAATTCATAAACTGAAAGTAAAAGCATGGAAAACAGTTCTCTACATGACAGGAACCCAGAAAAAAGCAGGGGTAGCAATCTTATTTGCAGATAGGGTAGATTTCAAACCAAAACTAATTAAGAGAGACAATGATGGTCACTACATCCTTGTGAAGGGAA